GTGGTATAAGAAATGACGAGCAGGTGGACTTCAGAAAAACCCCTGAAAGACGTGTATGGACTGATGCTGAGTGAAGTGAGCAGAACCAGAAGAACGTTGTACACAGTAACAGCCACGTTGTGCGATGACTAATATTGATAAACTTAATCCTTCTTAGCAACACAAGGATCTAAGACATCTCCAAAGGCCTCGTGATGGAAAATGCTATCCATATTCAAAGAAAGAACTATGGCATTTGAATGCAGATCGAAGCATGCTATTTGCTATTTTTTTCTGCTGTTGTGTTTTGTTTCCTCTTTCTGGTGGTTCCTCCTATTGGTTCCAATTCTTACAACATGACTAATATGAAAATATGTTTAATAGGAATGTATATGTATAGCTTATATCAGATTGTGCGCCATCTTGGGAAGGGAGGGGGAGAAAAATTTAAAACTCAAAAGCATATGGAAGTGATTGTTGATAAATCAAAATAAATAAAAAAATTAAAATTAAAAAAAAAATGCTATCCACAAAGAAGAAAGAACTATGGAGCTTCAGTGCAGATCGAAGCATGCTATTAGCTATTTTTTTCTTCTGTTGAGTTTTGTTTCCTCTTTCTGGTGGTTCCTTCTATTGGTTTCAATTCTTACAACATCACTAATACAAAAATATGTTTAATAGGAATGTATATGTATGGACTATATTAGATTACACGCCATCTTGGGGAGGGAGGTAGGGAAGGAGGGGGAGAAAAATCTAAAACTCAAAAGCTTATGGAAGCGATTGCTGATAATTCAAAATAAATTAATTTAAAAAAAGAATGAGGGTGGGAATGAGGACTGGCAGGGGGGTGAATCAACGATGTTGTGGGCTTGAATGTAGCCTCAGGCTGGATGAATAGAAAGGTAGCACGGAGAAAGACAGAGGAGGCCTTCCAACTGTCCTCTGCTCTGGTCAGACCCTTCTGGATTCCGGAGCTAGAATCTAGGCACCAAACCTCAGTGTAGCCAGGCCCTCTTCCTGCCCTCCACAAAGGTGGAAATTGAGGTTTCCCCAGAGATGGGGTGGGCCAGATCCCAGATCTTATCTATCTAAATATATCCCTGGAAATCCGGCCAACCAGATCCACATTAGCCAGAGTCTGAGCCAGCACTCTTCATGAATATTGCAGAATTGAGGAAACTGAGGCCCGAGCAGTTTGTGACCTGCCTGATGCCCTACAGGTTCTAGAGCTCATGGATTTGGAGCAGTGAAGAACACTCAGGGGCTATATGGTCCAATCTCCTCATTTTAGAGGACGAAACTAAGCCAGCCCCTGACCCTGCTTGGTGGCAGGAAGGAAATAATTCTGGTTTCCCAAAGTAATGAAGTCCTCGTCTGTCCCTTCCATAGGAATCTGAGCTGAAAGGACATCAGAAACATTCTATTTTCTAGTTATTTTATGGATGAGGCTTAGAGAGGGGTATGAGTTGCATTGCTGGTCAGTCCTTCATGACTCTTTGTGCCCCCATTTGGGGCTTTCTTGGCAAAGACACTGGAGTGGTTTGCCATTTCCTTCTCTGGCTCATTTTTACTGATAAGAAAACTGAGGCAAACAGGGTAAAGTGACTTGCCCAGGGTCACACAGCCAGGAAGTGCCTGAGGCCAGATTTGAACTCAGCAAGATGAGTCTTCCTGACTCCAGGCCTGGCACTCTATCCCTTTCACCATCTAGCTCTCCTCTGAGTTACCTAAGGTTAATTCAATTCAGTATTAAAGACCTACTTCGGATAAGTCCCTTGCTAGGCACCAGGGAGACAGAGGACATATAAGTCAGAAGCTTCAGGGCTGAGATTCAAAGGCCAGATCCCAAATCCCCCATTCTTTCCACTATACTTTTGAGAAGGAGCCTCTAAGGTCCCAACTTCTAGCTCTAGAACTAGGCTCTATGTGGAAATCTCCAGTAAATAGAAACCTGGAGGATTCTGTTACAGGGTTAGTGACACCGGCCTTCCTGCCTGTTCTTTGAACAAGATAACTCAATTTCCCAACTCCAAGTCTTTGCAGTGGCTGTCCCCCACATCTCCTTGGCTCTGACTCCTGGCTTCCCTCAAGCCCCACTGAAAATCCCACCTCCTACAAGAAACCTTGCCCAGACTTAAGGTTAAGGCTCGGAATAAAGGTTTCCCCTCAACACTCCTGCCTTGCCCTTGGGATCATCTCTGATTAATCCTTTCCATATAGCGGATGTACCTAGTTACTTGCATACTGTCTCCCCCATTAGGATGAAAGTTTCTTGAGGGCAGGGAAAGTTTTAGCCTTTCTTTGCATTGCCAATGTTTAGCACAGTGTCTGGTACAAAGACAGCAAAGCTCGTTGGCCATAAGGTGCCTGATTTCAGTTCCACGGAAGGCAGAACGTTCTCACAGAGTTGCCCAAAAGAAGAATGGGCCACCCTTTTAGGTAATGAGCTCTCCAACCCTGGATGTATTCAAGCAGGAGTTGGATGACTTCTACAGGGCGTGCAGAGAGATGGGGCTCATACATTGCCGAACATTTGGCCAACGCTCTGGAGTGAGTTGAACCAGATTAAAATGTAATTGAGAAATATTAAGGGGCAGCTAGGTGGCGAAGTGGATAGAGCACCAGCCTTGGATTCAGGAGGACCTGAGTTCAAAATTGGGCTCAGACACATAACACTAGCTGTGTGACCCTGGGCAAGTCACTTAACCCCATTGCCTATCCAAGACAAAAAAAAAAGAGAGAAATATTAAAAATAAATAGAAATACAATAGACCACAGGTAATGTTAATGTCCTGAGGTGCTAAGTGTGCTGGGCCCCTGGGGCCAGGTCACACCTTGAGGTTGGAATGCTCAGCCCCAGATTGGCCCTTCCTCTCTCTCTTCTCCTCTCCCTGCCATGGGAAACGAGAGCCTTCCCAGCAGCAGAGAGATACAGAATTGGGAGAGCCTGGCTGAGTCTCACAACCCCTCTGGCAGGGAGGACTATTATCCCCATTTGATACATGAAGTGAACTGAGGTTCAGAGTGGTGGAGTGATTTATCCAGGGTCCGTGCTGCTATTACATGTCTACGTTCAAATTTGAACTCAGCTCTTCCAGACTCCAGGTCCAGTGCTTTATCTATCACACCATACTACCTTCTACAACATTTAGCACTGGGAAGAGCTTTAAAGATAAGCTAGTCCAATGACCTCATTTTACAGATGGGGAAACCGAGGCCCAGATAAGCAAAGTGACTTACCCAAGCTTTCATAGCCGCTAAGCAGCAGAGCCTAGACTCCAACTCAGGGCTCCTCTGAGTTCAAGTTCAGGACTCTACTGTGGGGACTAGAATGGAAAGGTAAACAGTGGCCATGCCCCTTTAAAGCTGGGGCTGGGGTGGCAGAGAGCCACAGCAAAGGGCTCCTTGGGGGAGGCAGCCAATGGCCCCCTGGCTGCTCCCCATGGAGGAAGGGAGGGAGGAGGACACAAAGGTGACCGAGGAGACAGAACTGGTGGAGTCATTTGCTTTTGTTTCATATGGTTTGGTTTTTTTTTTACAACTTTAAATACAGAATATAAATTAATTTTACGCATTTAAAAAATAAAAGAAAAGCCAAAAAAAAATATAATCACCAACTTTACAAACTGAAGGAAGCAGGTTTCTGAGTAGGGGAAAGAGCTGCAGAAGATGGGAAGGATGGGAAGGCAAGCCTGCCCCTCCTGGCCCAAGTCATCCCACCCAGTCCTTCCCCCATGAGGCGCCGGGAGCTGGCCAGGCCTGAGGGCCAGCTTCCTCCAAGATTCAGCAGCCTCCGGGAACTGCAAATGAGGTCACTTTGGGGCCTTCCTCTCTCCCAAGGAACTCTTCTTTAGGGTACCCCAAAGGAGGCCCAAGGAGAGGCCCCAGACTCTCAGGACGGATTTTTTTTTTTTTAGACTTGGACAGAACCTTAGAGATCATTTAGTCCAACCCCCTCATTTTACAGATGGGGAAACTGAGGCATAGAGAGCAGAAGGGACTTGGGTAAGGTCACAGGGTTGGGATGAGGCTGGGGGTGGGGGTGTTAATGGCAGAGGCCAGAAGCAGACCCCAGACTCAGTGGTTTTCCCACCACACCAATACCTGCTCCCTTCCTTAGAAGCATTCACTCCCTCCCTCCCACTCCTGTCCCTGGGCTTGCCTGAGCCAGGCCTGCAGGTACGTCACCCCTCTCCTGCTCCACCCAGGAGCTGCCAGGCTGGGGTTGGGGGAGTATGAGGGCTGACCATGATGTAGGAGAATAAAGGCAGAGAGAGGAAAAGAGGGAAGAAAGAAGGACAGGGGCAGCAAATGTGGGGGGAGACAGGATAAGGAAATAACCAGACTGGGCCTGGCTTCCCTCAACAGAACAGTCTCCAGTCCACCTGAGACAGTGCTCTGAGAAGCAGGAGGTGAGCCTCCCGTCAGCACGACTGGCCACAGGCTGCTATCCCATGACAAAACCCGCTTCAGAAGAAACCACAGTTTCAAAATTATGTGCATAAAAAGTGAAATAACGGTGCAGGGAATGGGCAGGACATAGGGAGAAGGACTGCCTTGTCCAGCTCCACGCTCCTTGGGCACTGGCCAGCGGTGGAGCACATGGGAAGAAGGTTCTTGCCTGAAGCCCCACCAGTCCAGGGCCACAGTCACGGAATGATACTCAGGCTCTGGGCTGCCATGTGGCCAGGCTGATCCTATGGGTCCTCGGGGCACAATCAGTGCTTGGACCCATCCGAACCCGAAGGCCCCTACTGTGGGTGTCCCATCTATCACCCAGGCTGGGCCTCCAGGAGGAAGGGGGGGGATGGAAGAAGAGGCTCCTCTCGCCAAAGGTGTCCTCCATTTCTTCCTTTCTTCCCCACTGCCTGTGGGAGGGGTGGCGGAGGGGTTCAGGGCCTTTGGGAACCCCAGGAGCTGCTGGGTGCAGAGGGCGAGAGCCAGGGTTGCCGTTGAGCCAGGAGGGACAGAAGATTCACTGCAAGGCCAGGGGACAGGGGAAGCACCATTTGCCATCCGCGTCGGCCACCGAGACGGACAGACAAGAACGATATTCTCACTCCAAGAACCCCATGGGGGCAATACGAGAAATACATTAAATAAGCCTGGAAGCCAAACAGAGAAGAACATGGCGGTCAGTGACCCCCAGCAGAGAACACAGAACGTGGCTCTCCCCCCCAGCCCACTCCAGGGATCCCAGAGGACATGCCAGATCCTCTGACCCCACAGCCAGGATCCTTCTACTGTACAGAAAGCATTTGGCCAACCTTGAAGTGACACATACATTTTGACTATTCCACTTCCCGTGCGACCTTGGGGAAGTCTTTTCCTTTCCCTTGGCCTCAGTTTCCCCCTCTGTACAATGGGGGAGGGGAGAGTCAGACAAGAGGACTGCTGAAGTCCCTTCTTGTGTGAGCGCAATAAGCCTGTAACTGACGATCCCCTGAGCCATGCCAGCTTTGTGGGACAGAGCTCAGGGTCAGTGGAGATCCAGGGAAGGCCGGGAGATCAGGAGGTCTCTAAGGCGCAAACTCTGGAGGAAGCCAGGGGCAGAACTGTCCTGAGCGCTGGCAGGCGGCACTCCCAAAGGAGGCTGGATTTGAAGGGGAGCTGTGGGGGAGGAGAGAGAGCGAGGGGGCCCATGGTCTTCACATAACCACAATTACACTTCTGGTGACAGGTGGGGGAGCCATGCTGGGGGCTGAGGGCTGGCTGTGGGGGGAGAAGCGGGATGGAACCTGAGACTCATTTGAAGGGACTTTCCAGTCCTCCAACCATCTGACCATTAGTAGTGGTTAATCTGTCCTTCTCCCATTGTAGAAAACTGAGGCACCACAGAGGGGAAGTGAAGGGCCCAAGGTCACATAGGGAGTTAGTGGCAGAGCTGAGATTTGAACCTTTAGCCTCTGGCTCCAAACCTATCACTTCTTCCATTATGCCATCTGCTTTGGCCCATTTCCCTGGCCAGGAACGATCCTAAGGAAGGGCCAGTGGGGTCAGGTGCCCAGGAACACCCAGGGACAGGAGGTTTTCTGACTCAGGTTTCCCTGTTTCACCTTCTTTCCCATTACCTGCCCATCATGCTCTCCCTGGCAGGTGGCCCTATGCTCCAAGGCTCTCCTTCAGGGCCGTCTTGTCGTGGGTGTGCTTGAACTTTCGGTGCTTCCCCTTGGGCGGCCGTCGGATCCGAACCCTCCGCACTGTCACCTTGTTTGGGGTGGACCCACCTGTTCAGAAGGACAGAGAAAAAGCCTGTTATTTTACCCACGTGAAAGGGAGTGAAGAAGTAACTATACCGTGTCTCTACACAGTTTAGACTGTGAGCAAGAATCAGAAATCATTGAACTCAACCCCCATAACGTAAATTGCATAGGAAAGTATTTCCTACGTGCCAAGACTTTCTGGAAAAGCGGGACAGCAGTCTGGCAGAAATTAGGGTTAGACCGATATCTTACACCCTACACTACAACAAACTGAAAAAGGAAACATGCCCTGACTTTTAAAGATCAGATCAGGGTACTGGGATTATTAGAAGTAATTTTTTTGAAAAGCAATAAAAATTACTGGAAGTGATTTTTAAAAGAATAAACATGGGATAGAGGTGATTACAAAAGATAAAATAGATACTTTAGATTATGTGGATTTGAAAAGTTTTTACATGAATAAAATTAATGTAACTAGACTATGAAGGGAAGCCACTGATTGGAAAGAAATCTTTGCATAAAGTATCTGAGAAGATACATAGGCAGTTAGTGGAAATATACAAGCGCAAAGGCCATTCCCCAAGACATAAATGGTCAAAGGATATGAACAAATAATTATCAAAAGAGTCGCAAACTATTAACTATATGAAAAAATATTTCAAATCACTCATGATAAGACAAATGCAAATCCAAACAAGTCTTAGGTTTCATCTTGAACCCAGCACACTGGCAAAGACGAGAAAAGTGGAGAACAAGGAATGCTGGAGGGACTGTGGAGAGTCAGGAACTCTGTCTTTGTTGGTGGAGTTGAGACTGGGTCTAAGCATTCTGGAAAGCAATTTGAAATGACTTGAAGGAAGTATCTCAAATGTCCACACTCTTGATCCAAAGATACCCCACTTGCGAGGTATACATCCCAAAGAGGCCAGCGACAAAAAGGAAGGCTCTATCTGCCCCCAAATGTTTATAACACTCCCTTTTGTGGAAGCAAAGAATTGGAAATAAAGGAGATGCCCGTTGATGGGGGACTGGCCAAGCAAATGGTGGTGTGTGGTTTTTGTTTTTTCTCTTTTTTATTCTTTTTTATCAAGGAGGCTATCTGAGAATGGAGAAGAGAAATAGCTAGGAAATATAGGTGATGTAAAAATAAAAGTTATCAGATTTATTTTAAGAAACCTCCAGAACATCACACACACACACACACACACACACACACACACACACACACACACACAGAGCATGTGGTTTCTTCATAGACTAAGGTCTCACAGTGGGTCCTTGGTGAAGAGAGGGCAGCAGAGATCGCCTGTTCAGCTCCTTCATTTAATTCAACTCAATAAGAATCTGTTAACTACCTACAGTGTGCCCAGCACTGTGCTAGAACATAGGACTGCACATATGTAAAAGAAATAGTCCCTGCCCTCAAGGACCTTACATTCTATTGGGGAAAACAACATGGAAAAGCAAACACAAGACACACAAAATTCAAAGGTCAACTAGTCCCACATTTCCTAAGATCTGAGATCCAGAGCTGGACTGGACCTCAGGGGCCACCGTAGACAACCTCTTCTTTCTAGAGATGAGGCCTCTCCAGAGGAGCTCCAGAATGGGCTCGAGGCCCCACAGAGGGGTAAGGGGCAGAGTTGGCATTTGAACTCATATCTCATTTCGTCTTTCCCCCTGGTGAGGTGTTCACACTTACAGATGCTTTTAAAGTTATACAAAGCCCTAACAGGCATCATCCATTTGACCCTAACCACCAATTCGTTGTTGTTAAGTCATTTTTTCAGTCACATCTGGCTCTTTGTGACTCCATCTGGGGTTTTCTTGGCAGAGATACTGGAATGGTTTGCCATTTCCTTCTCCAGATCATTTTTATAGATGAGGAAACTGAGGCAAACAGGTGAAGTGACTTGACCAGGGTCACACAGTTAGAAACAGTCTGAGGCCAGATTTGAACTCACGAACAAGAGTCTTCCTGACTCCAGGTCCAGCGCTCTATCCATTGCGCCACTTAGCTTCCCCCTAACCGCCAACAGGGAATATTATAATCCCCTTTGTATAGATGAGGAGACCAGTTCTCAGAAAGGCCAGGAGATTGGTCCAAGGTCACATAGTTCATTCATTTCAGAAGCCGATTGATAGGATCTTAGAATGTTAAATCTGGGAGGGACCTTCGAGGTCCCCTCATTCCCTCATTTTACACAAGAGGAAACTGAGGCCCAAAGCCACGGTGATTCACTTCAGGTCCTTTTGACTCCAAAGTCCCTCCTCACCTGCACTCCTTACCCGATCACTTCTCTCTCCACAGAGCAGGGGCTTAATAAATACCAAGTGCTGGAATTGAGGTGAATTCCAATTCTACCAATAAGAGTCCATTTCAGGGTCTGAGGGATGGCTGAGGGCAGGGTCAAACAAAGGGAGCAACTTTGTCCAGAGATGCTAAGGCAGCTGGGTGATGCAATGGATAGAGTTCTGGGCCTGGAGTCAGGAAGACCTGAGTTCAAATCTAGCCTCAGACATTTACTAGCTGTGTGGCCCTGGATAAGTCACTTCACCACTGTTTGCCTCAGTTTACCTTTCAGGATTGTTGTAAGGAGCAAACAAAATAATATTTGTAAAGCTTAGCAAACCTCAAAGTGCTACAGAAATTTTGGTTGTCATGACAATGACAATGGATTTGGGCATCTGTCTACAAGGATCCAGGAGTCCAGCATCTATCCCCACCCCAGCTCTGGCACCCCTGGGCACCTCTGGCTGCCCTCCCGAGCTCCCCACAGAAAGAGCCCAGTACCTCTGTTTCCCTGGGTGCTCCCGGGGCTTCGGGTCAAGGAGCGGGGGGCTGCTATTGTTTCACACTTGCAGGCCAAGTGGTCCTCCAAGGTCACTGTTGCCTTCTTAAAGGTCGGCTTCTTCCTCACGATTTCTATCTTCCTGACCTGTAGGAGATTGATGGAAATAAGAACGGAGCAGAGAAGATGTAATATCTCCCAACATTGACCCTTTCCTCCTTCATCAGAGAATCCAACCCTGACCCTTCCCTTCACTTTTTCCATCAAACAAGACTGCCCAGCAGTCCCAGTCCAAATACCCCCTAAGGAAGAGGAAGAGGCATTTCCATTTCTGAGCCGCAGATGGTGAGCATCCTCGCTCCTGTGATCCCTCAAGTGCTAGCCAAGCTCACAGGGGTTGGCTGTGGGGGTGAGGAATGGGGCAGGTGGCTGTCTGGGAGGAAGTGTGGGGGAGCCCACTTGTCAAGGGTTTGGGCAGCTGTCAAGTGCCCATTTCCAGATGGCTGGAGGGGAAATCCATCAGGGAAAAGGGAATGGTTGTCCCTGGGAATACTCCAGTTGGTAAGGCCCTCCAGTTGGGTGAGGGTGAACAGGATAGAGGGATATGGGGAGGAGGGGTGGTGGTGGAAGAGGTTGGAAGCATGGAGCCACTCAAAGGGTCATTAACACCCAATGAATTCCCTCTTAACAAGGAAAGTGAAATAGCCCAGGAGTCTAGAGGTGCTAGGAGCCAGTAAACATCGAGGAGGAAGAGGAAGAGGCTAGCACCCCCAGCCTCCTTTAAAGCTCAGCTCAGGGGGCAGCTAGGTGGTGCAGTGGATAGAGCACTGGCCCTGGAGTCAGGAGGACCTGAGTTCAAATCTGGCCTCAGAACACTCACTAGCTGTGTGACCCTGGGCAAGTCACTTAACCCTGATTGCTTTGCAAAAAGACAAAAACAAGGCTCAGCTCAGGCACCAGCTGCAGCAGGAAACAACACACAGAAGGCCCTTAATAAATCCTTACTGAATGGATGGATGGATGGTTAATATGATGTAGCATGTTAGAGGTGACAACATGCTTAGTGTACATTTGATCTCAGGGAGGGGATGAGGATTTCCCTTGTCCCTCTTCCTTCTTAGAATAGTAATAGTAGCTAACCTCTGTAGGCCATTTACTGTGTACTGGGCTAAATGTTTTGCAATGATTATTTCATCTGATCCTCCCACAACAACCCTGGGAGGTAGGTGCTATTATTATCCCCATTTTACAAATGGGGAAACTGAGCCAAGCAGAGGCTAAGTCACTTGCCCAGAGTCACCCAGCTGACAGGTGTCTGAGGCCAGATTTGAACTCAGGTCTTCCTGACTCCAGGTCCAGAACTCTATCCACCGTGCCACCCAGCTACCCCAATACCACCCGATAGGATGTGGGGATAGGACCTGTAGGATCATTTAGTCCAAGTCCCCCATTTTAAAGACGGGAACACTGAAGCCACGAGAAGTTATGGACCTGCCCAAGGTGCTCCAAGTTTCTCTCTGCAGGGCCCCTTATCCCATGCATGGAGCCCAGCCCTAGACCACCAGGCAGAGTGCAGCCAGAGACACACACCTGCACGTGCCTCAGTTGCACCTGGGTGGGGCGGCACTGGACATTGCGGTTGTTACAGCAGCCAGAGCATCTCTGCACCTCCACGCAGGGCGGCCACACCAGGAAGTTGGCATTGGTGCGGTCGATGAGGCGCCGCGAGATCTCAAACACTTCAGTCCGCGTCTTGCACTCTGCAATCATGGCTGGCTCAGCCACGGTCACAGCTGCTAGGGAAGAGGAGGCAGTGGCCATCAGATAGAATCCTCCTGGGCCTCTGGGAGCCCAGCAGCTCAGAGCTGCAAAGGACCCTGGGGGCCCAACCCCAGGAAGCTGCAGCCCAGACAGGTTAAGTGACTCATGCAGGGAAACACAGCTCAGGCCAGGCAGAGCTGGGACTCCCATCCATGTCTTCTGAGTCCAAGCTGGGGTTCTTACCACCCGGTGGTATGGTGGGAAGGCTGGCCACATCCCCAAATGCCATCCCTCTGCCCCCGTGAGATCACAATCACACAGTTTTAAAGCTGGAAGGGCCCTCAGAGGTCATTCAGTCTAGCCCCATCGTGGTACAGAGGAGAAAACTGAAACCCAGAAAAGGAAAGGGACCTGACCAAGGTCTCATGACTAGTAGAAGCCAGGCCTAGGTTCAAATCCAGGTCCTCGGACTCCCCAGAAGGAAGGAATCATTCTGTCTCTACCAAGCTTCCCGCTCAGCAGGGCAGGGCAGAGAGGGAGGGAACCATCGGGGTTTCTCCTGGTCTCTCCCAGGATAACTTCCCAGACCTGTGGCCACCCCTCCCATCTTACCCACACTCCTCCTTTCACGAGACAGGATGACTGGCTCACTCGGGGAATGTGCCTGGGTCAGATTCAGGTCCACTTTGGCCACATCCTCCTCTGCAAGAGAAGGACCAGCTTCATGATCAGGACTGTGGGGAGGGGGCTGCTGGGTTTAGGGATGGGGATCCTGCCTGGGGAGACTGAGATAAAAGAACCTCCATCCTCTGTCCTTGGTCATCTGCTTCACCACAGGTGGTACCATCAAGTACCACTGATGCATTGTGGGGGAGCAGAGACTGCACTGACCGGTGCCGGGGGGTGTGGACTTGCGACCCGTGTGACTTTGGACATATCACTCGCCGAGCCTCAGTTTCCTCATCCATCACATGAGAGGCTTGGACTAGACGGTCTCTGGAGCTAGGATCCTCAGATCCTCTTCTACCCAAGATGATTCCCCATCCCTACACGGGCTTGCGGGCAGAGAGAGAGGGAGTCTTGCAAGGAAGACTGAGACGGGGTGGAGGCAGCAGTTACAGGCTTGGTAGAGTCAAGACTTCTTCCCCTGGGGCTGCCAACCCCACCCTCTGTCAGAGAGTCACATTTTTGGCCAGAACCCATAGAAATGGAGTTAAAAATAGCCCTTCCCCTCTGCTACTGTAAGTGAAACCTCCGGTCCCCCAGGCCGGGCGGGTGCAAGGACCCTGACCATTCACTTGTTTCCAGTGCCCCCATCCACCCCTGCTTTCCCACAGGAAGTGCTGAATAGAGAAATTCCCAGAATCCCCAGGGGGGAGCTGAAGTTGGGTGTGGGGGAGAGGGCAGGGTAGTGTTCTTACTTTCGGCCCCTCCTTAGTCCTAGGCACGGCCTTCGCTGGGAGGGAGATTTCTTCCCAGGGAGGCTTGGATTGGCCATCGGTATTGGGGGTCAGTGCTTTTGTCCCCCAGATAGAGGAAAGGTTCTAGCATAAATGAAGGTTGAGTAGGTCAGCCCTGTGGATCATCCTGTTCTGCTGAGGGCTGGAAAGTTAAAAGGACTAACAGGCTAAATCTACCATAGTGCCTTGGGGTCTACGTGACCACTGCCTCCATTTCACAGATGGAGAGCCTGAGGCTCAGAGACAAACGCCTCCACCAGCTACAGGGGACCTAGGTCTCTGGGCTCCAAGCCTCCTGCCTTTCTAAACCTGGGAGGAGCAGGTGGACTCTACTCTCACACTGATTTCCCCAGCTGGGTCACTACCCTACCCCCAGACCAGGCTAGCCAAAGCCTACCTCCCAGCTTTGGATGGCAGCTTCGGGTGAGAGGTGAAGTAGGGCTTCAGGCCATTGTCTTTCACGTGCAGAACTCCAATACCAGCCTTAGAGCCTTCAGCTGGTCACAGGTGGGGGAATCTCTCATTCTTAGAATCTCCAAGAATTCTTTAAATTTCTACTCCCCTTTAAGACTTAAATGCCACCGACAAGAAGCCTCTCCCAGGTCACAAAGCTCCCAGGGTCTCCGTCTGCCTTCTTGCCTTTATCTTGTGTACCTCAAAGGGTCCAAGAGCGAGAAGGAGGCCCTGAAACCACCTATCCTAACTCTCTTCTCTTTAAAGACAAGGACATAGGGAGGTGACATTAAGTCACCAAATGGCAAGTCACTGAGTAGCCTGTACAGAGGAAGCATCAGAAATGAATCCTCTGAGTCCAAGGTCAGAGCTCTATATATGTGGGCCTTCTCCCCATGCCCACCCTAGAAGAGAAGCTCACTGAGGGCAGGGAATGTTTCATTTTGGGGTATTTGTAGCCCCAGTACCCAGCTCAGTGCTCAAGGAATGTTTGCCAGGTGATAAATAATAATAACAGCTACCATTGCATGTAATACTTACTACGTGCCAGGAACATAGTAAGTGTTTTATGACTATGATTTCATTTGATCCTCACAATAACCCTGGGAGGGAAGTGCTTTCATTATCCCAATGTTACAGATGATCAATGTCAAGGGGGTTCAAAGGACGGAACCTCAGACATGAATCAGCCCAACCAGTCAGTTCTCAGAGAAGGGAAATGACCTGCCCAAGGAGATGTGGGTAAATTGTGTTGGAGCCAGGACTCCAACCCAGTTTATCCAACTCCTCCTGTTTCTGCACACTCTCCTGTAGATGATCTGAGTTCAAATGCCAGCCTTAGGACTAGGTGTCTGGTGGCAACAGGCAAGTCACCCCTTCTCTGGGCTTCAGTAAAAGGAGGGGGCTACACAAAGGCCCAGGGCCCTTCTGGCTCTAAAGCCTCTGATCCCCGGGCTTCCTGACCCACTCCCACACCTTCCCAGCTCTCCCTCTGGCCGTGTGTGGCTCCACTCAGCTCCAGCTAACCAGGTCCCTTGAGGCCAAGATTAGGCTCCCTCCTCCAGCCAGCCGGCCTGCTCTCTCAGGGGAATCCGGAAAATGTCCTGCTGGATGCATTTCCGTCCTTCCAATTAGTCCCATGACAGTGTCTGTCTGTCTATCCCCACCCAACTGTCTCCTTCCATTCTTCCCTCCCTCTCTTAGAATTTCACTGGGGCTTGGGGGGTAATGGGAGAAGGAGAGAGATGGATGGAGAGGAGGGAAAGATACTCTTACGGAGGTTAGTTTGATTAGGAACAAAATAGCTCCACGGTTACCTTGAGACAAATTTGCTACTGGGATCCTGCCGCTGCCCCTCTGGCCACCCGCTGGCCTCCACCCTATTCTGCTATCCCACTGCGTTGTTGGTGGGGGGACTGTGGGAAGGCTGGGAGGCAGAGGAGGTCTTGCTAGCAGAAGGCCTGCTAAATTTGGAAGCTGCCCCATTGTGTGGCCCGGCTGCAAGGGCACAGGGCTGAGGCTGGGCTGGAAGAGACTGCCGTTGGGTGGGGAGCTCCGTCTCCTCTCAATGGGGCAAACAATAGGTGAACACAGCTGGTGCCCCCTCTCTCTCTCCTTCCCCCACCCTCCCACCAAGAGCGGGCCGGTTTGAAAGGGAGCGAGAATGCCTTTGAGAGGACGCCAGTGGGCCGCCTGGTAGAAGAAACAAAGGGAGGAAATTCTGTTCCCCCATAGATAGTGTCTCGGGGAGGATCAGAAAGCTACAAACAGACAAAACCCTAGAGAGAAAGAGAGCTGGGGGAGGGGTGGGGGGGGGAAGCTGTGGAGAAGGGGGTAGAGGTTAGAATAGAATGGAATTTGCCCTGAAGACCGAGTTTATAAATACATTCCTGACCCAGCCCGCTGGCCCTGGCACGTGTATGCCCGGGAGCACGTGCCTGAGATCTGGGCTCTGCTGGGGCAGGTGTCCCCAAGAGACCTCAGAGACTGGGCTAGTGGCCAGCCAAGACAAGGAGGATGTACTACCTAGAGAGGCCATCCCCTCCCCCGCCTGCTTCCAAACACACCTGGATCAGTTAGAGCTGAGAGACATCACCTTGTCCAATGTCATCATTTTTTTAACAGGAAAAAGCTGAAGTCTATTAAGGGGAACTGACTTGCCCAGGGTCAAACGAGTAGCAAATAGCATAGCTTCCTACCCCAAACCATTCTACTGTTCTGGGCACATCCTTTGCCCACCCTATAACCTGGGCACTTCACCCTCTACTCTTCTGCCTCCCTGCTATTGGCCCTCTGTCCAGCCCTTACATCAAGATGGGCCGGCCCTGCCCGGCAATGAATGGACATAGCTGGGTTCCAGGAGAAGCTGGGGCTAGGCTGCCACCACCCCGGCTGTGTGAGGAAATGAGAACTGTGGGGATCACAGATTTAGAGCTAGAAGAAATATTGGGGGCGAGATAGTCTTCCTCATTTTACAGATGAGGAAACTGAGGCTCAGAGGAAGGGAAGTGACTTGCTCCTTTAGGCTAGTGGCCCTGCTACCCCAGGCAAGGATGCCCTGCTTGTCCCCAGCAGAGGGGAGGGAGGGGAGATGAAGGGGCGAGATGCTCAGGCAGACTGGATTTACCTACGGAGTCTATCTGCAGCAGGTGCTGGAGGTCGCTGATGGATCGGAGTGAGGGGCGGCTGAGCAGCTCATAGATCTCCTCAGGAATGGGGTCCCCCTGCCAGGCAAAGACACAAACGGGAAGACGTGAGCTTGGAAGCAGGGTGTGTGTGCATGTATGTGCATGTGCGCGTGTGCATGTGCGTGTGTGTGTGTATGTGTGTGTGTGTGTGTGTGTGTGTGTGTGTCCAACTACCCTCCCTTGGAGTGGGACATAACTGATCACTGAGGCAAGCTGGTCCTCTTGGGCCTGGAGTGCACATGCTTTTCCTGGGCACCTGCGGAAATCCTCCTCTCCCTTCCAGGCCCAGCTCAGGGCTGCCTCCTTCGTGACTCTCCCCCAAGTCCCAATCTTCTCCATCCTCATATGTGCCTAGAGATCTTCCTTTAGCCTCTACCTTGCAGCACCCTCCGGACGCAAGGATGGCAGTATAGAGAACAGCTACCCTAAGCCCTCATCTTTCAGGTTAGAAAACGGAGGCCCAGAGTTCACTCAGACCATAAAATCAGAGATCTGACCCTGGAAGGGACCTCAGGTCATCTAGCCCATTTTACAGATGAGGAAACTGACCAGTGTACATGATCCATCCCCATCACTAGATTGTTAGCTCTTTGCGGACAGGGCCTATGCTGTTCCTAGAATTATACATTTAGAGTTGGAAGGGACCATTTAGCTCAATCACCTCATTTTCCAAATAAGAAAACTAAGGCCCAGGGAGAAGTGACTTGTCCAAGGTCATACAGGCAGTAAATGACAGAAGGGGATTTGAAACCAGGTCCTCCTACCCCAAATCCCTTCATTTTCCACTGAAGTCCAAAGCCTCCCATGTTTTTGACTTCTGTCTCCCCATCCCTGAGCCCAGTGCTCTGCATGTAGTAGGTGCTTAATAAATTCTCATCATTGAAAATGCAGACAGACAAGTCTCTTGCATGATAGGGGAGGCCTGAAATCTGCCCTTCTCCCAGTGTCCAGCCAGGACTATTTTCAGAGCACTGCCCTGGCCTCTCCCCAGAAGCACATGAAACCGAATAAGGGGGTGAACCATTCCCCACCCGTGGCCCAGTTTCCTCCAGGGAAGCCATCCATCCTATAATATCACATCACAAGCATCCGAAGGGCCATATGACATCATCGGCCATCCTGGGCCCTATCACATGGCCTTCAGGTTTCACAACCCACAGCGGGGTGGGGGCGGCCCCCAACATCCCACACGAGGGGGGCAGGGCTCAGGGAAAAGACCAGCTTCCAAAGGAGAGGGAAAGGCCCTCAGTTTGGCAAACACTGCTCTTTCAGCCGTCTGCCTAATTAGACTGTTGGGAAAAGGACGATCTCCCAGGCCGGGGGGCCTGGTACTTCTAGGTTCCTCTCACAGCTCAGTTTCCTAGATGCTAATTGCAAGGCCTTAGGGAAGGGAGCCTTCTCTGCAAATATTTCCTCGGTTAGGAAGGTTCTGCCCACCTCCACCTCACCGGGTCATATGAAAGGTCACACGTGCTCCCCTGAGCGTGGCCGTCCCTCCAGGGCTCACTCAGACCCCACTGCAGTCATCCTGTTTTTAGCCAGAAAGTATTCTTAGAGTCTTAAGATGAAGCTCCGTAGGGGACCTTAGGGGTGATCTAGACCAAGCCCCTTGTTTTACAGAGGAGGAAAGTGAAATACCTGTGTCACACAAGGTCACAAGGATAGGAAGCATTAGTGTCAGAATTCAAACCCAGCTCCGCTGGCTAGTCTAAGCAATGCACGATGCCTCCCCCATGGAAACAGCCGACACTCACCCGGGCTTTCACAAAGAGCTTTGCATCTGCCACCTGACTAGATCCTCCTAACAACCCTGTGAGGAAGTGGGTCGCTTGGGCATTCTGGAAAAGGAGACTGAGGGTCAGAGGGGTGACATGCCCTGCCTGCAGTCACAGAATCGGTAAGGAGGAGGCTGGGGATTCAGTGCCCCTCCCTGGAGTGTGAGCGTCCTGAGGGCAGGGGCTTTTTGGGTCTCCAGCATCCAGCCCCATTTGGTAGAGTGGTGGACATCTGGAGGCCCCAGGGAAGGGACTTGCCCAAGGTCACAAACCAGGGTCTCCCGCACCTGGCTGTGACCAGGCGCAGGCCTTTTCCTGCTGTCTTCCAACCCCTAACAACTCAGGCCAGGCCTTCAAACAGAGCAGACACAGAGTAAATGTTGACTGACTCAAACTTTGGTTTCTGATGTTTAGTTAAGGCGGAGGGAGGGTGGGGCACAGGGGGAGGAGCCATTTTCCCACCACTTGGTTCTAGAAACACAGGCTGAGGTGGGGGTGGGGAAGGGAGCCCGGCTAGAGCTCTGTAGGGTCTGGGGAGGCAGGAACTTGGTCCCCTGAGGTTCAGCTAAGCCTTGGCTTCCCAGCTGAACTCTGAACCAGCATCTGAGGGGGCAGGGGCAGTGGAGAAGAGCAAGGGTGGGGGGGGCAGTGCTCTGCAGGGGATATTGGGACTGTCAAGTCACACTCTGTTCCCTGCACAGGTACCTGCAGCATCACAGTGGAGCATCAGGGCATGAGGGGAGCGGGACCAGAGAGATCTCGGGAAGTCCTTTGGGTGGTCCTGGTGCTACCCCTAACCCTGAGGCAGCATGTACTGTACCAGGGGCCCCTGGGCTGGACTCCCAACTCGCCTGCATTGCAAATTAGAGGACTTTAGGCAAGGTCCAACCAGGGTGTGGGCCTTCCTCCTCCTCTGAGACCACCTTCTGTCTCCTCCTCTACATCTATATACACCTTACCTTTCCCCTTAGACTGGGAGCTCCTAGAGGGCATGGGCTGTCTCTTCCCTTTCTTTGTATTCCCAGTGCCAGGCACACCACAGACCCCTAAAAAATGCTTTCTGACTGACAAAAGATTTGGATTACATGGGTCTTTGAAGTTCTTTCCAACTTGGACATTCTACAATGTTAATATCCTGTACTCTAAGGTTGCTCCCAGCTCTGCCATTCTGTTTTCTAAGTCCCTTCCAGCTCTGACGTTCTCTGTTCTAAGGATATTCCATGTTCTAAGCTCTGACATCATAGGTTTCCTTCTCCACCAGAGAACCCCTGAATCCCCCAAGGATGATCATTCTTACCTCTAAACTCTGCTACTCCTCCTAGCTCTCACTTCTGGTGCACTTTAAGGTTCACAAAGCACTTTAAACATACCATCTCCCTTAATCCTCAAAACAACCCTAGGAGGTGCTATTATTACCCCCATTTTACAGATGAGGAAAATGAGGCTGTGCCCACCCTACTTGCTAGTAAGTGTCTGAAGCAATTTTTGAATTCAAGTCTTTCTGGTACTAAATTCAGCATTCTCCACCAGTCAGTGTGCCACCTATGGTATTAATTTAGCCTCTGGAATACATGACCTTATGCTATGCTCCTTCTGCAATACCTCTTTGGAGTGGTGGCCAACACATGACCCCCACTACTGGTGGATCTCTTGAACTCAGGAGTTCTGGGCTGCAGAGAAGGAAGAAAGAAGAAAAAGGAGAAGAATGAGAAGAAGGAGGAGGAGGAGGAGAAGAAGACTGTATTATCCATATTTACACCACATTTTACACTGGTCTAACAGAGTCCTCCCTATAGGAAGCCTTGTCAATATATGCATCAGTTGATGTATGATCACAGTTGGAGACCCTGAGACAGCCATTGGGTCAACAGGGGGACCCGGTAGCCAAAGAAGCCCATGGATCTTGGGTTCCAATAAGAGGAAGAAGGAGGGTCCAGAACATGGGTGTTGAATGTCTGGCTGTCTCTGCCCTGGCTAGAACACATGTGGAGGGCTGGGTTGAGTTCTGTGGCCCACCATTTCGGAAGGATGTTGACGTGCTGGCCTCCAGGATGAGGAAGACAGTCATATGACTCTGCCATAGCAGGATCAGTTGAGGGAAGTAGGAAAGGTTTAGCCCAAAGAAGGGAAGGATGTAAGAGTCGTCTTCTTCAAGACTGAAAGACTGCCCTGTGAAAGTCTGCTTGGCCCCTGAGTGAGGAGCAAGAAACAACGGGTGGAAATCACAGGGAAATAGGATTAAGCTCCTATGAAGGAAAAAACCCTTAACCTCGAGAGCTGTCCAACAGCAGAGTAAACTGCTGTGAGAGGCACTGGGGTGTTCTGTTCCCCCTCCTGGCCTTGGATGGGGCACACGTTGCAGACTCATGCCAGTTCAGGTTCTGGTTGGACCACACGCTCTCCAAGGGCCCTTCTAGCTCTGAGATTTGGTGGCCACACAAGGATGATAAGGATGGTGATAACCAGGGAGCTGAGAGCGGATGTTGGTACATTGCCCTACCTTGGTGCATACCATCCCCCTGGGCCACCTGCTGCCTGTGTGTCCCCCCCAAGCCTTTTCTGCCTCCAGTGGGAGGCAGCGCTCAGTCACCAGAATGGCATTATCCCAAGCTGAGGGGACTGCCAGCTCCCTTCTGGGCTGTGGGGAAAACGAACAATCACAAATCTGGATTGGATGGCAAAGCAGAGGTCAGCTAGCCCAACCCCAGATTAAGGAAACCAGAGAAAGGAAAGTGATTTGCCCAGGGCCACTCAGGCCCTAGAGCCTCAAACTCTAGATGACACTTAAGGACCCCAGACACCCATTAATCCAACTTCATCTCACAGATGAGAAAACTAAGGCACAGAATGACTTCCCTAAGGTCACCAATTGTCAGTGGCAGAATTGGGATCTGAACCCAGGCCCTCTGATCCCAAATCCTGCCCTCTTTCCACTGCACCGGGATTGCTGAAGCTCCAGGGCAGAGCTTTGGGGATCAGGGACCAGCCTGCTCTGCTTGGCTTGGCTTGGGAGGGGGAAGATGGCAGGAACCCAGGTTTCCTGAGAGCAGCTGGTGATTTGACTAACACTGTTAGCACAGCTGGGGCAGACAGCACCCTCCCTCACCAGAAAGAGAGAGGGGTGTCACTTGGGGCTGGGGCCAAAGACTGCCAGTCCCTGATGTTATCATATAGCTCTACCTGATCCCAGGCCTGGGGTAGTGGCCAGGGTAGGGGCAGGGGTGGGGCAGGCGGGCAGGCAGGTACACAGGCAGGTACCTG